TCTACGATGGGAAGTTACATATACCCTCACCCAGTTTGTAGAGGAAGTAACGCAATTAGAAGAAATTTTGGCTATAGAACGAGAGGAGCAGGAACGTCGCGTTAGTGAGCATTAAATGGAGTTTGAACATAGGCAGAGAGAATACCTACGTAGAAATAGATCAGTGGAGGTGTGTTCTGGAGTAGAAATTGGAACAACATCATCACCCCAACAACAGGGACAAGCAAATGTGGATTCCCAAAACACCGCAAATACAAGTGAGGAAGAAGATCCGGTGGAAGATTTTTGGGAGGCCATTGGGAATTAAGCAGATGTATAATATGATGTAACATTTTGATGATGATGTTACATTTTGGCAATGTAAAAAAAAAAGTGCCCGAGGAATGATCTTGAACGGGAACAAATGAAAAACATTCCTTATGCTTCAGCTGTTGGAAGCTTGACAGGTCTGCACGAGACCTGACATTGCATTTGCTGTTGGGATGTTAGGAAGATATCAGAGTAATCCAAGTGTGGACCATTGGAAAGCTGCAAAGAAGGTGCTGAGATACCTTCAAGGGACCAAAGACTACATGCTTACATACAGACGAACTGAAAACTTGGAGGTGATTGGCTACTTTGATTCAGACTACGCTGGCTGCATTGATTCACTTAAATCAACTTCAGGATATGTTTTTATGCTAGCCAATGGAGCTGTATCTTGGAGAAGCGCAAAGCAAACATTGATTGCTACTTCCACTATGGAGGTTGAGTTCGTATCTTGTTTTGAGGCTACCTCGCATGGTGTATGGATGAAGAGTGGCTTAGAATTGTGGATTCAATTTCTAGGTCATTAAGGATATATTGTGACAATTTAGCTGCTGTTTTTATGGCTAAAAACAACAAAAGTGGTAGTCAAAGCAAGCACATCGACATCAAGTATCTAGCCATAAGGGAATGTGTTAAGGATAAAACAGTGGTTAGTGAACACATTAGCACTGAATTGATGATTGGTGATCCTTTGACTAAAGGCATGCCACCATTGAAATTTAAGGATCATGTAGATAGAATGAGACTTGGTTCCTTTGCGTGATTTTCGTTGTAAGAACGAATGTTATTTTTAATGAAACTCTATTTGTGATGTTTTCTCATATTTGTTTTCCTTGTGTACACATTCATTTATTTGTTGAGAAATATCATTAAGGCTTGGACCTAGAATAAACATAGGGTTTATTCATTAAGTTATATGGGCTATTGTTGAGAAATATTATGCATTGTAATACATGGAAGATAATACTCATTTTTAGAGGACCTATCACCATGATTCATGTATTTTATTTCTTACTGTGGTGAACGATGAAATATATGGACCAAGTGGGAGAATGTTGGATTTCTTTCTCCCTTAAGTTTCAGTAACCAACCGAAACAATCCTCAGAACGTGGTCCATTCTATTTCCCCACTTAAGAAACGTGATTAGTCACGTTCATCTTTAGTTGTCCACCGTTGCCCGAGAAAGACTCTGTGATGGCATAGTCTATACAAGAGGACAGAGCACATTAGTTTTGGGTCCCTAAGCCTACTATCTCCATTCAGTTAGAGTATACACCATCAAACGAGAGATTGAAGAGGTTTAGAAGAACCAAAAAACCCGAGTTTTCTTTTCTTCCACCGAGAGCTTCAATGGCCGGAGGTGTTTATCTCGATCCGTTTATTTCAATTCCGCATTGATCTAATTGCCATTTAGGATCCTTAGGAGCATGTGTAGATCATTCAGAAATTCCAACACACAGTGGTGGTGTCTAGCTGGGATTTGCTTTGCAACGGAGGTTGCGAGTTCTTGGAGCTAATTTGCAATGACGGAGAGAGAGAGAATCGTGAGATTGGAGTGGCCAAGATCGGAGGCGCGAGTTCCGGAGAACGCAACGGCAGAGAGAGAGAGAAATTTGCGAGATTGGAGGTGTGAATTCTGGATATCATGACAACGGGGAGAGAGAGAGAGGGTCACGTACTGTGAAGTTCTGAAAATCGCGACAGCTGAGAGAGAGTCACTAGATCATAGTGGCTAGGATCGGAGATGCGGTTTCCGGAGAACGCGACGACGGATAGAAAGAAATTCACGAGATCGGTGCTGCCGAGATCAGAGGTGCGGGTTCCAGATAGCGCAATAGTGCTTAGTGGTTCGCGTCTCTTCGTCATCGTTGTCGCGATTTGGTCGGAGATGTTTGTGAGGTGTCTAAGCAGTGAGCAGATCAAGAGAAAGAGAGAGAGGAGAAGAAGGAAAGAGAGAAGAATTTCGTGAGACGGTGGATAGAGAGAGAAAAAAATGGGAACAAAAAGAGAAAAGAGAGGGTAATTTGGGGAAACAAGTATTTAAAATTGAAAATATGTTATTATTTATCATATTTGATAAATTATGCTATTTGCTTCAAAAGTATCCATTAAATATGCTATATCATGTATTTTCTCTAAACTTAAAGTTTTGACCTTAAAATTTGTCCAAAATACCTCAAATGGCCTCTTTTATGTGTTTTTATTTTTTGTTTTTAATTTTCTACAGTTCTAGTCTCTTTTTCTTAAAGATTGTTCGGTAATTTAAAAGGTCAAAATCAATTGTTAGTGGAGGTAAGGTATATATTTGTATAATAAATTTAATTTAAAAGTATAAATTTAACAATATTAAAAAATTGAAGGTATAATTTTTAGATAAACTCAAAATACATCGTATAAAATCATAAATATCCCAAAAAAAGAAAGACAAAACAATGTTGTTACGAATCATTGTCAGTTTCGTCTCTCACATTTATTTCAAGAAATTTCAGTTTTGCTTGTATTGAAAGAAATATAATGACTGCAAGGAAAAGAAACAAGAAAAAATAATTACTACTTTCTTTTGTGAACTAGCGTGGCAATTTTAATTGTAAATCTTCTAGAAAGAAGTTGGTAATAGCATACTGCTTGGCTTATAATATTTGCGGACTTATGACAACCTAAAATCCATGTCCATTTAAAAAAATAAAAAAATAATAATGAAAGAAACGTTGCCCGACATAATAGAACAATTATTTCTAGCACATTTTGGTATCCCTGGAATTGTACGATTCTTTTATGTGGCTCCCAATCGTAAAGGAAAAAGAAAATTAAGTGACAATGCAGTATAAGGTATTTCTATTTTATTATGAGCTTTTATTTTGTTTGGTTTTGAAAAGTTTTTGACCCACGGAAACAAAGAACCAAAAAACAGAACAAAGAACGAGTATGCTCAAATAACAAATAAGTAGGTCCATTTACTTTTATGAGAGAATGAATTGTATTTTGTTTGTCTCCCTCTCATTGTTGTATCGCCAATTTGCTTGCTTTTATTTTTAAAAAATACTAACATTACTTTTGATGTCACTCTTTATATTTATTATTTGACACATATACATCACTAATATGATATATTATTATTTAGATAAAAATGAGATAATTGAGTCAATGTATCAAACAATGAATACATAAAGTGATCAAAATAATGACAAAAAAAGTGATACTAATATTTCTTCTCACTTTTTTAACAAAAACAAAAATTATGTTTTCTTCTACTTACACCGAGAAAAAAAAATGGCCCTCAGTTCACAAATTTTATATTTACTACAAATTAATTTGGTTTAATAAATTAACTTTGACCTAGCTATTCTTCATTTCATTTTTTTTTTTTTTTGTGTGGGAATGTACTCTTCATTTCTTTTATTGCAAGTGTGCATATGGAAGGAAAATGAGTACCTATGTTTGATTGGAATAATACAACTATTGTTAGGGAGATTACTTAGTACGCCTGGTGTATCGGTAGGTCAAATTTTTTAAACTGTTAAATATGTATATTTTTTAATTTTTACGTAATTTTATGTAGATCAAACGGTTAAAAACCCTGATGTACCGATATATTAACGTACCAGACAAAGTCTCCCATTATTATTCCAAAGTGAATTATTTATAGTCTTTTTCGCTTTAGACAATAAAAAAAGCTTCATATGGGCCTATTTGTTTTGTCCTTCTCTTAAATTCCTTGGTTCCCAACATCCTCAAAATTAATTCACATGCTATATGTATTTTTGTAGATTTATTTGTTTGTTTATTTATTTTCTGGACAAAACTATCTATGCATATATTGTTTTGACCCAACAACTAATCTTAATTAATACGGACAAAATAAATGCTGTAACAAAACAGAGAGGAAGGAAATCTTAAACATGTGACAAAGACAATCTATTAAAACAAAAGAAATTGTTAAACAAGTTTTAAAGAAAAGTTTGCTATAAGTATTAAAATCCATTTAACTCAAATCTACAACTGTGGTAAATAATTTTCCACAAAAAAATAAAAGGGCGCTTTCTAAATCTCAAAATAAAAACTAAAAAAAAAAAATCGGTTTAGATTGTTAACATTATTATTGAAACTAGAGAGAAAGATAAATGAGAAAATTATGATAAGAATCAATTTGACAAGTTATCTTTCAAGAGTCGGCCTCAAAATATAAAAAGAAAATACCATTTTAATATTATTAAAAATAAAAATTCATATAACAAATTTTTTTAAAAATTTTTTTTAATACGTTAACATATTAAGTTTTTTATCTTTTAAATTTGTATAAAATCACATAAAAATAAAAAATACATAAATTTAACGGTTAAGAAAACTTAACATAACAATACACCGAGCATATTAAAAAATCTCCTATATTTTTTAATTATATTTAGATTTAGATATAACACATATATTAAAATAAATTTATCATTTTTTGAGATTTTTTAATACCTTGACGTACTATTAAATGAAGTTTTTTTAATTATTAAATTTATATATTTTTTAATTTTTAAATAATTTTATATAAATTTAATAGATATAAAACCTGACCAAGCGCGAGAGAAGATCCCTTTCTTATCATTACCAAAGGCTGTCAATTTTTTGTTTTTATTTTTGTTTATTTTTTGTTTTTCCCCTCCAAACTAAAAAGACAGAAGAGAAAAAAAGGGCAAGGAAAGTAGATTTAGGATTTAGGCTGGCCGTCATTTTCCGGGAAAGTGTCGGTGCTCTGTAAGAAAGAAAACTGGATTAAAAAAAAAAAGAAAAAGAAAAAAAGAAAGAAGTCAAATATATTGTCAAATATCCCTGTTATATTATAATAATAGAGGTATCTTGTGTGTATAAGCTCTTGGTTTTTGTCTCGCAAAGCTTCCCCGCTCAAGCTTCCAATTAGTAAATACTCTCTCTCTATATATATACATATATATATACACTTATTTATTGATTAATAGCTCAGCTTCTGTTACTATAGAACTAGGGATCAATTTGTGGGTTCTTTTATCTTGTGGAAGAAGATCTGAGAAAATATTTTGCAGAGAGAGAGAGAGAGAGAGATGGGTGTGGATTTGAGGCAAGTGGTGGCTGGCATACTCACATTGACGATGTTTGTGATGCTTGGCCAAATGATTAAGAGAGACCATTTTGATTCTGCTCAAGTAAGACTTTCGGTCCTTTCTGGAATTTGATCTACTTGTTCGATTTTCTATGCCATCCGATTTTCTATGCCATCCATTTTCTCTTACATTTCTATCTGCAATTTCAATCCACTTTTTAGTGTGGTCTCTTATATTTTTTTTAATTGTCTTCTGGGTAGAACGAATTATATGCGTTACTTTCTCTCTCTTTCTCTCTCTCTCTTAGCATTTTAAGGAAAAGAAACTTATGTACAAAAATGTTACAACATTCTTTATAGCATTTAAAAAAATTCGTAAATTTCTCAGAGATTTTAGAAAGTATAAATATATTAAAGTCAGCTACAGTGAAGGCCACCTAGTAGGGTCGTCACAACATAGGATATCAGATGGCAACAATGCGATTGGGTGATTGTTGATCGACTGATTAAGTCTACTCACGTTTGCTCATCAAGCAAAGTTATTTTATCGAATGACTAGTCGAATTGAAAATAGTCTAAAATAGTAACGTTGCATAGAGTTCTCAGGTCCATTATTCAAACCGAGACAGTTATTTCATGTCAAGGCTCTGAGAGAAAGCGTACAAGACACAACAAGCTCTAAGTTAAAGTTTAACATGACATTTCACTCGTAGACTTTTAGAGGTTTAAGTGGGAGAGTTAGACTTTATGAAGGTTATACTGATGAAAGATGCAATAAGATTCGATACGAAAGGAAATTTTGAGATCTCAAAGAGAATTGGTGAGGATGCGTACATGGTAGAATCGCCATAGAAATTAGTATCCGTGCGCAATGAGATTCACGTAATGATGTTGAAAAGGTATATGCCGGAACTATCATTTTATTACACCAGGAACTAGTTAGTTAAGGTGCACACAAACCTACAAAGGGAAATCATTTCAGGTTTTGGCTCACGAGGAGAAATCCTCGAAAGAAATAAGGTCAGATTCCTTATTAAGACATTTGAGGTAGAATCGCTAAATTAAGAACATGAGTAAGTCATGAAGCAGTAGGATATCCCTAGTTTAGTTAAATTTTCGAGGACAAAAATTTTGTAAGGTGGGAAGATTGTAATGTCCGGGAAAAATCCATAAATTAATAAGTAGAATTAATTAAGGATTTTCTATAATTTACGTCAGCGAAGCTAATTACCTCAAATTAGTACAAATTTTATCTGTTTAGAGGGAATCTTTGAAGATAAGATCAAGGGATGAAATAGTTATTAAAATTATTAATATGCGTTACTTTCTCTCTCTTTCTCTCTCTCTCTCTCTCTCTCTCTCTATATATATATATATATATATATATGTATATATATATATGTATGTATATTCTAAATTTTTATAATTTCTGTTTAATTTGATTTGTTTTGTTTAATGGGTTTTAGTTGTAAAGAATTTTGCACCGACCCTTGTTTATTTTTTCTATGATGTTTAGTGGGATCACTCTCTTGTCCCCTGTTTGTTTCTAGGGAAAGTTGTGAACAAAAGAGAAGTGAAGTGTGATTTTCTGTAGTTATTGTTGAAATTGATTAGAATTCCACCACTTGACTCATGTCTAGTTTTCTTCCTCAATCCTCAATTGTGTACTTTTCCTATGATGTTTAATAGATTCATATTCTTATCCTCTGTTTGTTTTCTGGGAATTCAAGGAAATGGGGAGTAAAGTGTCTAATTCGTGTGAAAAAGAAACTAGTTCCTTGATGCTCTCCATTCAATCTAACAGAAAAATAGGTTCAGATTCCTGTTAGTGTTTGTGTAGATTTATGATTAAGCTTGTATTCTGTGTACTGATGTTGACTGGCTCTTGTTTTCTTGCTTTACATTTTGCTTTGTGTAGGAAACATTCCCCGGAGATCGGCATGTTAATTTAGAGAATGCCAAGATTGCAAAGCAGGGCATTGTTACCCTTCCGGAAAAGAGTGGAGGGCCTTGGAAAGGAGATGGTGAAGAACTGAAGGCATGTTGGTCTAAGCCAGCTCTAGGTATATTTACTTAACATTAACCAATACGAATTCACTGCTTCATTCACCGTGTGCCTATTGCTTTCCTTATTTCTATTTTATTAAAATTTGTTGCTTTGCTACAGATGATGTCGAGCAGACGAACGGGTTTGTCATTTTCTCGTTAACAAATGGCCCTGAATACCATGTTTCACAGGTATGCGAATCAATTGGTTTACTAGTTCATTGGCTTTATGCTGATTTGTTTGTCTTTAAGTATCTATCTGCTTGTTTGACTTGCTCACTTAAATTTTTCTCTCACTTTTTTGTTCAAGGATTTATAGACGACGACAATGGTTGGTTTTTAATAGCCAATGAATTCTGTGTTCTTAATGAGTTCTGTAGCACAATTCTAGAAATTTTAATATTCCTTTCCTGCCACCTATTATGGTGTACCTGCTTCAAGTACACTGCGAAGCATTGATGCAAACGGTGTTCTAGTAATGTAGTCATTTCTTGCTTGAGCGAATGTCAGAAAGGCTGGATAATAATCAGTCTTTCGTCTGCCTGATCTCAAATTCCAGCCTGCTCATATAAGAGATTTTTTTAATAAAAAATGAATATTTGTGAATATTATGGATGTCATTTGAAAATGAGTAGTTCAATTCAAATAGAATCGAACTTTTGAGTGATCCAGGTAAAATGAAATATTCAATTGTCTGTACAAATTGAAATAGACTTGACGTTTTCATATCATCTACCCGCAAACGAAATGCTTTGATACTGAGGAGGGGAAGTCTTAATTTATCTGAAGGCCTCTTTACTAATCTTATCAACTAATCTAAAAGTCATCTTTTCAAAATCAATAATTTGCAAGCCATTGCCCGTCAATGTTACTACTATTTATATTCTACTTGATTGACTGTATCGATAATCAGAATTGGTGGATTCAAGTCCATTGCAAAAGAAGAAATCCAAGTCAATCACAAAACTAAAATATTTCATTCACTTCAAGTCCCTCTATAAAAAGATTAATATACATCAAAGGTCCATGTTAGACCAAGTTCTTTATTATTATTATTTTTCTTTTACCAGAGCTACTTCTTTTGGTGCAAATAAGTCATTTAGTTATCAATATATTTTCTCTCATGAAGGTCACTTTTCCCATTTGCTCTCTAATTTCATCATCACTTCTTGGATATTCTTCAGATTTCTGATGCAGTCGTCGTGGCAAGATATCTAGGAGCAACTCTTGTAGTCCCCGACATCAGAGGAAGCAACCCAGGTGACCAGAGGTTCGTACTAAAAAAGAGTAGATTGAAAATGTGCCTTTCAATTGTCATTTCTTCTTGTTTTCTTGAAAACGAACCTGTTTACTGTATCCTACGTTGCTGTTAGTAAGGAAACATATTAGCTACAAACCGAAGCAACTATCATAATCCAATTGATTTTTCAGTTGGTTCTCAGAAAAGCTTTGATTGGAAGTATTTTTATGATAATTTGCAGGAGTTTTGAAGAAATTTATGATGTTGAGAAGTTTGTGAAAAGCCTAGATGGGGTGGTCAGAGTGACTAAAGATCCTCCTGCTAAGCTATCAACAAAGAATCTTGCAGTTGTGAAGGTCCCTAATCGGGTTACAGAAGACTATATTGTGGAACACATTGAACCAATTTACAGGAACAAGGGCACTATTAGGCTGGCAACTTACTTTCCTTCAGTGAATATGAAAAAGACAGATAAAGGGAGTTCCAGTGATTCAGTTGCATGTTTGGCAATGTTTGGAACTTTAGAGTTGCAACCAGAGATTCAAGAAATAGTTGACTCAATGGTTGATCGTCTAAGAACTTTGAGTCGAAAATCAGATGGTCAATTTGTTGCAGTGGACTTGAGGGTTGAATTATTGGAACATAAGGGCTGTCGAGGAGATGGTGAGTCTGGAACTAAAATTTGTTATAGTGCAGAAGAGATAGCTTCATTTTTGAAGAAACTGGGATTTAACAAGGATACAACAGTATATTTGACTGAATCGAAGTGGGACAGCAGCCTTGACTCTCTGAAGGATGTCTTCCCTAAAACTTATACTAAGGTGAGAAATTTCTTGTACTAATTTTGAACTTTTGCATTTTTTTTAATGACTGTTTAGTTGGTATGAGTAAATTATCCTTTGATTAAATTCACATTATGCTTGCTCGAATAGATGCTACCTTACAAAAATTTCTTTTAAAGAAACAAGCTTTCATTGGTAAAAATCAAAGTGAGAACAAGAAGTCCTCACAAACATAAAGAATAAAGATCCTGACAGAAATAAGAAAGGTTGTTGCAATTTAAAACCAAAAACAAAGAAAACCATAAAAAAAGCCCCATTCCATCTTTCCAATTCAAAACAATCAAGACCAGACCAGAAAAAATTGTTGATGATTCGTAAGAAATTTCTAGTTGAATTAAATCCTAAAGGGTGTGAATTAATGTGGGGTACAGTTATTGGACTAATTTTATGTTTTATCTTAATAGAGTAGTTTGAATCCGAAACTATACCTTTCGAAAATAATGTCAGATATATTAATTAATGAATTTTTAATCCTTTCAATCCAAATTGAGACGTACTTCTTCCCAACCAATCAATAGTTGAGATTTGTAGTTTTTCAGACCAAACAAAAGGAGAAAACTCATTTCATTAATGAGCCTTAGTGATAACTTTCAAGCCAAATCATCCAAAACAGATGATGTCAATGCTCTTCAGCAATTCTCTAGCCATCTTATTTGATCCCAAAAAAAAAAAAAAACCACAATGATTGAGTCACAATTAGCAGGAAATCTCAGAACAAATCAGCATCCCTTTTGAATTTGAATATTATTACAGAATTCTAGGATCTGAGTTGATACGAGTCACTTTTGGTTTAAAAATCATAAAACTTCTTAATTGTCCTTTTCTGTTAAAAAGTGGAACTCTCGGGAAAGAG